ATCAATACAGAGGGAATCCAGCGTACGCGCAAGAGCCACCTGTTGACCTGCTTGCTTCAGTGTGCGAATATTGAAAGTGGCTAAGTAGACAGGCTTTCGGAGTTTGAAAACAGACTTCGAAGTGTTTAGGGTTGTAACTGAACTCGGAGTGCAAAAGCTGCAGCTGAGTGTGATGCAGGGCGATCAAAACGGTCAGTCCTAGAGCTGGGACCTGCGGACACAGTATTCAAATTTGGACGGGGGAGGGTGGAAGACGGAAAACGTGAAAGTGTAAGAAGGGAGGCGTCAGCGGTAGCATGTTTTCGCTTACCGACCCTGCTGTATGAAGCAGGTAAGGCGACCCAGCTGATGGCACCACGCGACGGCCGGTGTGGCATGCGAGTATTGTTAGTTGTGTAGGTCATGGTTGTACGAGGGCTGGGATACTGCCAGGGCGCCCACACCTAGACAGCAGCTTGGAGTTATCCAGCCAGGAGAATATTCAAAATGGACAGCCCCTACTGTTGCCATAATAAAAGCAAATGGCAGAGTACGCATATGTACTGATTATTCCACTGGACTAAACGCCGTGTTACCAATACCAGGTCTGTCCACCAGGCTCGGTGGTGTAAAATGTGTCGCAAAGCTGGATGCCGCTGATGCTTACATTTGAACAAAAGTCTCCGATGACTCAAAGAACTTTTGACAATTAATACACATCGGGGCATGTTTCAAATTAATCGTTTGCCGTTTTGGGTTTGCATTGTGTACTCGAGCGAATTCAGCAGCACGGTTTTCGTCTATGTGCAGAAGAATGCACATGTTTTCTCAAGTCCATCAAATATCTCGGATTTATTTTTGACGAAAATGGTTGTCATCCAGACCCATAAAATATTTCTGCCATAGAAACAAATGCCAGCAACGCCGGATTTAGCAATCCTACGCCCCTTGTTTGGTTTGGTAAGCCATTAGAGTGCACTCTTGCCAGACGTGCATAGGTCCGTGAACCCCTCAATCATATGTTAAAAACGGATATGTCTTGAAAACGCTGAAATGAATACCAGTCAGCCTTTGACAAATTAAAATAACATCTTAGCTGTGACCCGCTACTCACAATGCTACTCACAATGCACATGTTTAAGTCCATCAAATATCTCGGATTTATTTTTGACGAAAATGGTTGTCATCCAGACCCATAAAATATTTCTGCCATAGAAACAAATGCCAGCAACGCCGGATTTAGCAATCCTACGCCCCTTGTTTGGTTTGGTAAGCCATTAGAGTGCACTCTTGCCAGACGTGCATAGGTCCGTGAACCCCTCAATCATATGTTAAAAACGGATATGTCTTGAAAACGCTGAAATGAATACCAGTCAGCCTTTGACAAATTAAAATAACATCTTAGCTGTGACCCGCTACTCACAATGCTACTCACAATGCAGCCTTGACACCATTATGGTTTCAGACGCATTCAACTATGGTACTGGGGCTGTCACCTATCACGTTTTCCCTGACGAAAAACGAAACAATCGCTCACGCAGCTAGATCTCTAGCAACTGCCGAGTGCAATTATGGACATATTTAAAAAGAAGCTTTAGCGACAATCTTCGCCAATAGGAAGCTTCATAAAATGCTCTACGGATGTCATTTTACGCTCGCCACCGACCATAAGCTGATACTCGGCATTTTCGGATCGAAGAAAGTCATACCCGTCTACACAGTAAACAGTTTGCAACGGCTACGACGTCCCCATCAAATACCAATCGGAAAATGCTATTGGTCAGGTAGATGCATTATCAAGACTCATGAATTCTCACAATCAACAAACCGAACTTACTGTTTTGCCTCAATAACGGTCGACTCGGAAGTTATCGCGGCGTTTGCTACTGCAATCCGTGCATTCCCAACTGCTTCTGTCATGGTTCACGACGTCAGTGTTCACGGTCCCTTACTGCCTCACTGGCGTGCCGTGCAAGTGCAGCAAGCTTAGCTGCGCTGGTCATTGCCGTCTTCCTGGATGGGGACCCCGAGACGGGCCACATTAATGGCTAGAGACATTGTCAGATATGGCCCAGTCGCACCCTCAATGGCGCTCGTGCATCCAAGCTATTGCCTTCAATGCATAGCTCCTTTTCCAACCCCCTCACCACTTGACAGTGCTGGATTTATGCACCAATTTATCAGCTTCTGCCTGCAACGCGCAGCTACCTCCCCCTCCCCCCCAAACCATCGGTGAGCGAAACTGCGGCA